ATGAGCAATGGGGGGCCCCCCGGGGGCCCCTCTCGTCGTTCTGGTGGGGCCCCTGCGGAGAGCACGGAGCCGCGCTCTGTCTGTGCTTCAAAAGAAGTGGTTTGAAGCATCTTCTCGTCGAGAGAGAAGTACAGAAGGATGCAGCGGCGAAACCTCAGGTGTACATACACCTGAAAGCCACCGAAATGCAGGCGGGCACGGAGCCGAGCTACGCCGCTTGCAAGCCCCTTCTCGGCTCCGAGTCAAACAGTGAAGCCGCTTGTTTCGACTGACACAAAGAAAAACACGTTCAAGTTTCTGGTGTATGTACACCGCAGCGGTACCGAGCGAGGATGCAGCCCGGGCCACCGATGCTGCAGCAGCACCCCGTCTACACCAGGCTTAGCAGCAATTGAAATACAGTTTGAGTTTGTAGAGAGTCTGAAATAAAGCAGAGAGGCGGCGGTGCGGCTGCTCTTGCATGCAGACGACGCGGCCGCCAGCGATGCTGCAGGGGGTTAAACGCGAGAAAAAAAGGAAAAAAAGACAAAAATTTTAAAAGAAATAAGAATTTAGGATAAATAAAACCGAAAGAATTGCAAATTCAACAAAGTTTACTCGTGCTTTCTCCCCCGATACCGCATGGAGGCTGTTGTATATATATATACATACACCCTCGAGAGCGGCGGCGCCTCGCTCAGGCCCCTGGGGCCCTCTCCGCGTGTTTCTGTTGTTTTTTCACGAGCTTACACTGCGATCTTCTGTTTTAAATGAGTTAATATGAATTAAATATAACTAAATGCAACAAATTTTTCCCGAAAAAACAACACAAGTACAGCAGCAGCAACAAAGGTTACACTGGCCCAGTGCAGAGTCAACTGCAGCAGCGACGAGCTCATACTAGCTGTTCTTGTTCATTTATTATTTATAATAAATTTATTTATTTATATTTTCGGGGTTTTCTTTGTCTTTTATTTTCAGTTTCTTTATATTAAGTTATTATTTCCACCTTCACAGCGGCCTCGTGTTGTTGACTTGAACGAGAGAGAGAAAGAGGCCCAGCGAGCCTCAACGCAGAGCTTGTTGTTTTTTTTTTTTTCTTTTTTTGTTTTTTTCTTTGATTAAATTATAATATTATTATTTTTAACTCCATTTGAATCGAGGGAGAAACCCAACGATCACACCCTACCAGCACACGCACACTGCAGCTTTCTTCTTTTTCTTGTCTATACACCTCAACCTCCTATGCATCTTTGTGTTTATATTTAATATATTTAAATTTATATATTTCATATTCATGTTTCTGCTTTCTCTATATAAACACCAAATTCCACCTGAAATATAAACTCTCGCACATACACTGCAGGTTGTATGTTTGTATGTGCTCATAAGATATTGTCTAAGGTTATTTATCTATTTGTTTATATATTTATATATATAAATATATAAATATATATATATATATATATATAAATATATATATATATATATATTTATATT